TCTTTCCCTCTTTTCCGTTTCCTCTCTCCTTCCCTGCCTTCCTCCTCGCTCCTTCCCTCCCTTCCTCCCTTCTCCCCTCTCTTCTTCCCTTTTTCCTTCCTTCCTCCCTCTCTCCTTCCTTCCTTCCTTTCCTTTCTTCCTCTCCTCCCTCCCTCCTTCCCCTCTCTTTCCCTCCTTCTTCCTTCTCTCCTTCCCTTCTTCCTTCCTTCTTTCCTCTCTCCCTCCTTCCTTTCCTTCCTTTTTTTCCTCCCTCTCTCCCTCCCTCCCTCCTCAACCTCAGCTCTCAGCACACCTGGGCAGCGCCATCAAGCAGCAGGCAACCGCCAGACGGAGTAGAAAAACACCCGCATAAAATCCGCGTAATTTTGTGTGCCTTAAAAATCACTCTCTCTTTCTCTCCCACCCCCCCAAATCAATTGCAAGGCCCCCTCCCCAAAAACATACAAGGGGGGGGGCAAAGGGGGGGAGAGTAGAAAAAAAAACAGCCATCACTACTTCGGCTGCTGGGTTTCTCTCTCTTTTTTTTTAATTGCATCACGGAAAAAACCCACCAACCTCTTGGCAATTTTCTCTCGGAACGCCATAAACTCCTGGAATAATTCCGATATGGCTGACAGCGCTAATGAATGCAATTAGTTGATTAATTAACTTCGCAGCAGATTTCAAAAAGAGGGGGGGAAAAAAATAACGGCGCTTGGTGGAAAGGGTGTGTGGGTGGGTGTCCCTGCCAGAAAAGGGTGCAGGGGAAAATCAAGCTGAGAAGGAATCTCTTTTATTTATTTATTTTCCTCTTATTTTTTTTTTTTTTAAATTCCCTTAAGACGGGTTTGGAGATATTCACGCCGAAAACACGTTGGTGTAAAATTAGGACAAGTTCTGTGTGCTCTCCAGGCAGCTGCTGTGGCTGGCTTGAAGCTGAGGGATCATTAATTGCTGATATATATATTTTTTTTTAAAAAAAGAAGGATTTTTCCACCTCTTTCTTTGTTCCCACCTGATCAGGGAATCCCTTCCCAGCCATGGAATTCCTGAGAATAAAATAGCCTGGAATGGATGCCCCCGTTTTGAACACGAGCCGAGGGCACAGCGCGGATCAAAATATCAAAATACACACACACACACACACACACACACACACACACACACACAACCCCCGGGGAGATTAGAATGATGGCGATATGAACGGCAAATGGAATCACGGAATGACAGAGTCGGGAGGGACCCTGGAGGTCTTCTAGTCCAACCCCCCATGCTCAAGCAGGAGACCCTATGCCATTCCAGACAAATGGTTGTCCAATCTCTTGTGTAAAAACCTCCAGCGTTGGAGCATGCACAATTTCTAGTGGCAAGGAGTTCCACTGGTTAATTGTCCTCACAGGAAGTTTCTCCTTAAATCCCAGATTGCTTCTCTCCTGGGTTAGTTTCCATCCATTGCTTCTTGTCCTGCCTTTCAGGGGCTTTGGAGAATAATTTGACCCACTTCTTCTTTGGGGCAGCCTCCCTCTCTCTCTCTCTCAAGTTTCCAACATGCACCCCCATTCAAATCACAAGTCTCTAGTTGAGTTAAAAAGATGGATTTATTGGGAGTGACCATGTCGGCATTTCCTGGTTGCAGCCGACTCTGAGACCCATCATTCATTTCCCCCTTAACCCTGGTCTTCCCCCCACCTCCTGGATATAAATTCTCCAATGGGACACATCCATAGCCAAGAGCCATCCATCACGCTCTCCAGTAATAATCTTGCGTGCCAACAGCTTTGGCTGCTTAGCAATTATCTGAAGCATTTAAGGAATGCACTGCTTTCCTCCCACTCCCTTTCTGCTGGCAACTAAAAAGACCAAAGGAGTATTTTTTTTTAAAGTTGGCACTCTCTCTCCTCTGCAGTGGGAGGAAGTGAGCGGCTACGACGAGAACATGAACACCATCCGGACGTACCAAGTTTGCAACGTCTTCGAATCCAGCCAGAACAACTGGCTACGGACCAAATACATCCGCAGGCGGGGTGCCCATCGGATTCACGTGGAGATGAAGTTCTCCGTCCGCGATTGCAGCAGCATCCCCAACGTGCCGGGGTCTTGTAAGGAAACCTTCAACCTTTACTACTACGAGTCGGAGTTTGACGGCGCCACCAAGAGCTTCCCCAGCTGGATGGAGAACCCTTGGGCCAAGGTGGACACCATCGCGGCCGACGAGAGCTTCTCCCAGGTCGACCTGGGCGGGCGGGTGATGAAGATCAACACCGAAATCCGGAGTTTCGGGCCCGTCTCCAAAAATGGATTTTATTTGGCCTTCCAAGATTACGGGGGTTGCATGTCTCTGATTGCCGTCCGCGTCTTTTACCGCAAGTGCCTACGCGTCATCCAGAACGGCGCCATCTTCCAAGAGACGCTGTCTGGCGCGGAGAGCACCTCTCTGGTGGCAGCCAGGGGCACGTGCATCCCCAACGCCGAGGAGGTGGATGTGCCCATCAAACTGTACTGCAACGGCGACGGCGAGTGGCTGGTGCCCATCGGGCGCTGTATGTGCAAGTCCGGTTACGAGTCGGTGGAGAACGGCACCGTCTGCAGGGGTGAGTGAGGGTTGGCGGCGGGAGGGTTGGCGACTTGGGGAGGGCCGGGGATGTATAGGTAGACAGATGGATGGATGGATGGATGGATGGATGGATGGATGGATGGGTGGGTGGGTGATGGGTAGATAAGTATAGGTAGACGGATGGATGGATGGATGGATGGATGGATGGATGGGTGATGGGTAGATAAATATAGGTAGACAGATGGATGGATGGATGGATAGGTAAGTATAGGTAGATAGATGATGGATAGATAGATAAATGATAGGTAGACTAGTAAATAGATAGGTAGATGGCTGATAGTCGGCTGAATAGATCGATAAATAGATGGATAGATAGATGGATGGTAGGTAGATGAATTATAGATGGCTGAATAGATAGACAGATATAGATAATAATGAATAGATGGATGGATGGATAGAAAGATGGATAGATGAAAGGTAGATAAGTAGATAGGTAGATGGATGACAGATAGATATAGGTAAATGATATAGATTGATTGATTGATAGGTAGATAAAGAGCGAGAAGGAGAGAGACTTGGCCAAAATCATTTGAGTCCCTAGATAGAGCTAAACCGGGATCTTCCCAATCCCGTTTGCAAGACCCTGGCCACTACACCACACTGCCCCGGAAGAAGGAGCCGGCAAGCTTGGTGCAGCCGTCAAGAGTCCAGCCCCAAGATTGGGAAGGGAGCTCAACCGAGACGGAATTTGTACGCACAACCCTGTGCTTTACACATCCCGGGGGAGGAGGAGGAGGCAGTTCTCTGGGCGTCTGTGTGTGTGTGCGCGTCCGCATTGTGTGATGCGCAGGGTGCCGTCCCCCCCTCCCTCATCCCTCTGCCAACCTCCCCCCCCCTTGCCAGGCATCTGGAGGCGCTTTGGGGTCCCAGCCGAGCGAAATCCAGCGCCTTTAATTAAAGACAATTACTGCTTTCAAACGCGTCTCTTTGGCTCACCAGCCTTGTTTGCAAACAGACAGCTGTGGGGGCTTTTGTGTCCTTGGCGCAACGGGCACCCTCCCTCCCTCCCTCCCTCCCTCCCTCTGCCTGCCAAGCGGCTCCTGTTCCTGGCACCCCCCCTTCGAGGAGCCGGCATGGGTGCAAAGCTTGCAACCCGGAAGGCGGTGGGGTGGCAGGATTGGGCAGTGGCCAGAGGTGCGGGGGGGGGGGGGCTGCCAGGTTTTGCAAAAGAAGGCCTTTGGGAAAGAGAACCCATGGCACGAGGGGTGGGAGGGGGTCCCAGCACCCCCTTTTCTGCAGGACCACCCAGGGAAGACCAGCTCCGGCAGCCGAGAGGAGGAGGAAAGCCAAGATGGGCACCTTAAAATGCGTAGCGCACAGAGAGAGAGAACGAGAGAGAGAGAGAGCGCGAGGAAAACAATTCTTTTTTTCTTCCTGCTTTTTCTCGGCGCGGTTGTTCAGTGAATTATCGTCGTTGTTAAACGAGTAATCCGGTTGTTAAGTGAATCGGGCTTCCCCGTGGTTGTCAGAAGGGGAATTGCGTCGTGTGGCAATTGTCGTAAATACGAGCCGGTTCCCACGCCTCTGAATTTCGATCGTGGGAAGGCCAAGACGGTTGTCGGTGTGAAAACCTGGACCTGGGTCCAGCTTCCCCCCCCCCCCCCCCCCCCCCGGGGATGTTGTAACTTCAAATGATCGTTAAACGAATCGTTGTACTGCGAGGACGAGCTGTAGTTGTGTTAGTTTTGAGTTTAGGCTAAAAAAAAGAAGCTGAAAAAAGGGGGTCGATTGGTGACGTCGTCCCAGCTTTTCTCTCCAAAGCCACTGGAAACAGGACGAGAAGGTGAGGTCTCCGTGAAGCAGTTGGGAGGCAGCGACAGCAACCACAAAAACTCACAAAAGAGGAATCCAAGCAATGACTCACAAGAACTGGGGTTAGAGGAGAAAGAGGGGGAGAAAGAGAGGAGAGAGAGAGAAATAAAGAGAAAGAGAGAGAAGGGAGAAAGAAAAAAGAAAGAAAGAGAAAGGAAGGAAGGAAGGAAGGAAGGAAGGAAGGAAGGGAGGGAGGGAGGGAGGGAGGGAGGGAGGAAAGGACAAGGAAGAGAAGAAGGAGGAGGAGAAGGAAGGAAAGAAGGGAGGGAGGGAATACTGGGCTTAGAGAAGAGGGAAAGAGAGGAGAGGGAGAGAAAAATGAAGAGAAGGAGAGAGAGAAGGAAGGAAGAAAAGAAAGAAAAAGGAAGGAAGGAAGGAAGGAAGGGACGAGGAAGAGGAGAAGGAGGAGGAGAAGGAAGGAAAGAAGGGAGGGAGGGAATACTGGGCTTAGAGAAGAGGGAAAGAGAGGAGAGGGAGAGAAAAATGAAGAGAAGGAGAGAGAGAAGGAAGGAAGAAAAGAAAGAAAAAGGAAGGAAGGAAGGAAGGAAGGAAGGAAGGAAGGGACGAGGAAGAGGAGAAGGAGGAGGGGAATAAAGGAAAGAAAGAAGGGAGGGAGGAGGAAAAAAGGAGAAGAGAGGGAAGAGGAAGGGAATTAAATGATTGGAACTAATTATTATGTGTTGTTTTGCTGTTTAATTTTTGTTTTGTTCAGTAAAGAAAGCTTTACCCTGGCAATAACGATGCAGCTAGAATTGATTGGTTGATTGATTGATTGACTGACTGACTGACTGACTAGGTACCATCAAGTCAAGCTACGTTTCTCTTGCAGAGGGGATTAAATTACATTTCTCTTGTGTGTGCGTGTGTGTGTGTGTGTGTGTGTGTGTGTGTGTGTG